GTCCTTGCAACCTAATTCCCTAAGGTAAATTTTGATGATGTACAATCTTCCAACAGATAATTAGTGCAAAAATCTTGTTTCTCTCCTCCATGTAACATGTCCAGCTTATTGTAAACTGCTTGATTTCATAACCCCTGCAGTTAAATCAGGAGTGAGTAGAAATTGTGCAGAGTCAGTGGGCTAGTCACTCACTACTCATAAATGCACGCTTCAAAGACTAGGAAACCTCTGAAAGGAGGCGACGATGACCCACTACTGGGTTAAGCTACTAATAGGTCAGTTCTAGACAAGCCATATTAATGAAGACATTTATTGAGTTGCATCCCTATTTCTCACTTACTTTGTCTCTCATCAGTTAAAATAATTTCTTTCACATTTCATTCTTATGTTGTTCTTCCCTCAGTAAAATGAGTATTTCTTAATTTTAGAAAGAACTGCGATGTTTTATATTCAGTGATTTTTTTTAGAGATTTGTTGTTCTTTATGCAATTTATATATTTATTTAATATAATAGTATCATCAGCGTGAGTAAGTACATGATTTAAGATTCTTAGTTTCAGCCGCCCCATTTGTATTTTGGGCTTTTATTATGGGACAGCTTAGAGCATTTAAAAAGAAGTGAATTGGAAATGCAGCAGTAAAATACTGACCTGCGCAAAATTCACACGACACCATTGCATACATATCTTGGGTGCTTGGTAAGAAGGGCATACATGGGTACAAATTACATTATGTTTGATTTTTCTGTAGTGGTGAAAATGAAGACTGGTTTTCAGGTTTCTGACACTGTGTATTCATTCTCACTAAAAGGTCTAAGTTAATTCAAATTCCATTTTACTCTAGCCCTTCTTACCAAGCACCATCAGCTATACAAAACAAATATTAGAAAATATGTTTTATTTTCCTTTTTTATAATTTGGTGTGATGATGTATTATTTTCATTGCTGTATCAGTTCTTCATTATTCCTTATAGAAACTGTTCATTCCTGAATATTCCTCTCAAACCTTGATATCTAGCTACAAATCCACATGACATTACAACCCAGAAGACCAAGATCAATGTTTGCAGCCCACCCTATCCTTAGCCAGATGAATTCAATCCACACCTTCCAATTTTAGTACTGAAATTTTCTACATAATTTTGGGTCCTCCTGTTTGCTGTATAGCCAGACCATTTCATCCATCGTGATTCAGTTGTCCTAACGATATTAAGGAAGGGGAAGAGTCGTGTGTTCCTGCCATCAAGTTGTGCTAACCATCACACGCAAGACTGCTTCATAGATGCTTTACCTAGTAACTCCATGTATTTGTAGATATCATATGATATGCTGTCGAATATAATATAACCATGATAGACACATGATGCTCATTCAGAAGTGAAACAACCAGTGTTTTCTGTTAAAGAAAATGTATGGCCTGGAATTTCTTCATCAGCGACATGTAAAGGAGAAGAATTTTTTAATGGTGCTGGCTCCACCAGCACCACATGCACCATTTACTCCAGCTCCTGAATATAAAGACAGCTATAAGAATGTGACCGCCATGAGAACACCAAATTTTAATATACCTGTCTTTAAGGTGTGTGACATTTAATGTTTATTGATGGTAATGGAGGTGTATATATGCTTAAAACTATATTTAGCAAGAAGATTCTGTAGTTAAGGTGCTTCATCTTTTGTCAGATATAATATATCTGTTAATTTATTTTATGTTGCACTGCAGTTCTGCCATGAATGAAGCCAAGTTTTGTCATCATCAGCCCCTCTGCATTGAAAGTCCATGATTGTTTTCTGAACTGTGTTCCAGACGGATTTGAATATATGCCGTTTGGAAACATGGTCTTCACATAAACACAAGGATTTGCAATTAAAATTCTACATATTAATATTTTCAATCATATAGTACACATTTTCTATGTTCTGTAAAAAAATTATTCATTTAACATTTTCCTCAGTTTGATATTCAAAACCACAGGAATTCAGTTTCATTTACTATTTTTTTTAAAATTGAATGTTATAATAACAAAATTTATCACGTTAGGATAGGAAACTTAGCTGCGGAAGGGGGGATTATAATAATTTATGTAAGTGCATCAAATGGTGTTTTATGTATAACCATGTTTGTAAAATATATTTTGTTGTGACTGTTCACATGCACCATGTTAAATTGGAAAATCTGTCAATAGTAATATTATTGACACACTTCATTGACTTCCAGGATAAGCATTGGTTACTACGGATGTCACCATCGCCACTTCCTGACTCCATGTTGCCTGAATTAGACAGAGTTTACAGACAAAGATGGGAAACTCTGTTATCTGTAGATGACCTGGTAGAATCTATTGTTATTGAACTTTACTCTTTGGGACTGCTTGATAACACATATTTAATTGTAACTTCTGATCACGGATATCATGTCGGTAAGAAATGTCTTCTGTTCTATATATTTTAGTAAGTGGTATTTGGAGGGGTGCTATAATTTTTAAAATAGAAATTGACATACATCGTGTGTTTGTAGTTTGCTGGCTGGCAGTGATGGGTTGAGGCTGTAGGTGGCGTGTGTGTGCGTTGTTGTTTTCTCCCCATTTGCAGCAGAGGTAGAATTGAGCATTATTAATAGATCTGAATACAGTTATTGATCTACATCATGTGTTTGAAGGATAAAGGGATGGGTCTGTTTGGAGGAGTGGGGGTCTTAGACCAGAGCTCTGTTTTATATGACCGTTACACAGAAGCATTGTCAATAATTGTTATATATTGTTGGTTATGGTTACATAGTGAAGGACTAGGGTAATATAAGTGTTTATTATTATTATAAGTGCTGTTGATAAGGGCATAATTTAGGAATGTAAGTTATCGGTGATGGTGTCCATCCAGCTGGAACCAGTCCACATCATTAATTGCTTCTCCAGCATTCATCTATAATACTTTCTTCCTGTCGCTTTGGTACCAAATGTATGTAGTGACTAGTACTCATTTTTCACATTTTTGAAGTTCTAGGTTTGAATGTTGGCCCAGATTCCAGATAGGCTAGACTGAGGTTTCTGTGCTGGGGAATTTTATTAAATGATATTTATTGTAAATGATTCAGTCATTTTATTTAATAAATTATTATTTTAGTTAGTTATTTCACAGATTCTTTTCAGTATGTGGTGTACACCTGAATATTCGCTTCTGTTAAACATGTGAAACCTAACAATGAATAATTTAAGTAATCCTACTTTAACTGGGCTTTAGGTCAGTTTGGACTGCCGTGGGATAAGCGTCAGCCATATGAAATGGATATCCGCATCCCATTGATGATGCGAGGCCCAGGTTTACCACGCAAGCAGAAGGATGTTCGTCCAGTACTCAACATTGACTTTGCACCAACATTCCTGGCAATGGCAGGATTAGAACCACCAGCGTGGATGGATGGACTTCCTTTTTTCCCATTACTACAACAAAATGCAAATAATGGAACAAAAATAGATAGAAAGTTTTTGATAGAATACCATGGGGAAGGGAGTATGAAGACTATTTCATCTGATTGCCCATCTGATTATAGTGATACCTTATCGGTAAGTATTTTAAGTTCTTTTGTGCCCTAGGCCCTTTACATCTAATTTTTGGGTTCTCACTACACTTTGGTTGATCGTATTGTTGAAGTATCATATTGTTTTACAGATTTATTTGTTTTTCAGACCTGTGTTCCAGAGCAGATGTGTAAATGTCAAGACTCAAAAAACAACAGTTACACATGTGTGCGTCATCTTGAAGATCTCATATCTAATCACAATTTTTCATATGACTTTATATTCTGCAAATTTAGAGATTCAGAGGTGAGCCTGCAATAACCAAGCGTTCCACATAAGAGTCTAAAAAACTTTGGTCTAGCAAAGATTGTTGTTATCTTCACATTTATTTTTTAGTATATTTCTTTACTTTTGGTCTTTAAATATTTGTTGTAGTTTTTATGATGAATGTGCCTCATATGCCATCTAAATTACTGGCTCTTACGTATGACGTATTCTGCACAAAAATTAATCCAGTTATGTGTACTTCACAGTATTTCATCCTTTTTAAGTCGCTTAGATTACATAACTGATTTTTTAAAATAACTTTACATTTTTGTGCTGAATTACTGTAGTTTGTTGTGTTACTGTTACAGAACTTCACAGAAGCTTACGACCTGAATGTTGATCCTTACCAACTGAACAACTTGGCACCTTACTTGAGCTCCATTATAGAAAACAAGTATATTACATGGCTGGATCACCTTAAGTTTTGCAGTGGACTTACATGTCACATGTACCATGATTTAAATGTCCAGAATTCACCTTAGTGATTCTGATATGGTTTATAGGACAGTTTGACCATAATTATAATTATACACATGTTTTGCAGTGCCTGGCCTTTACCCTTTGTATCCAGTTCCATTGCTCATCTGCCACTGGTAAGCTGTAGTGTAGTATTGAGTTGGTTCTACTGTATTACACTCAATCACATGTGAATATTGCAAGAGAATGTAATACCACTTCCTCTCTTCACTTTTGCTGACTTTCAACAACAGAAATAAAGTTTTTTAGATGATTTATCACATTATATTTATCATAACCTACAGACAGCAATATGAAGTAATGTAAAGTCAAGTTAAGCTAAGCAGGAAGGCATTGGGGGGGAGCAGAGGTATAGCTCCTACTCATTCTCCTCGTTCTCAACCTCAACACTGGGTGGGGGTGAGCGGTCAGCAGCACGCCCCAGCATATACATTGCAACATGTTCACAATTACTTTCATGACAATCCATGTCATAGTAATTTGTGGAAAGGCTGTACCTTGGTTCAGCTGCCAGATATTTGTTTGGATGAAACTTTTGACAATGCTGAAAGAGAAGGAAATTCTTCGAGGCACAAAAGTGAATAATGTTTTACTAGATAAAAATTCCTCACATTTTTATATAACAATAAAATATGTAAAATTAGACCAACATACATCCTGTAACACTAAGTAATTTTCTGTTTAGACAGTGCTTATATGCTTTAAATTATAAATGGCATTTTAGAGAATTTACTGTTATTTCTTTTATATTATTAACTATTCAACAGATATGTTAACAGCAAAAAACTAATCAGGGCTGCATTTTGTCAGTATAATGTACATCTTACAACCTATGCAAGTAGACTAAAAATCATTCAAATATTGTCTCAATGTGAATTCTCTGTATTCTGGAAACCAATGGACGTCATAATGCTGCATTTTCAGAGGAGAGAACCAGTAACTACCATGTCTGGTTCAGAAAAGTTTGCGTGTATTTTTTTCACAAAAAATGTACATTTTTCAGTACTGTACGTGAGAATATGCCGAATACGTTCTTTTTTATATTAGGCGGACATATTTGTGTTTGGACTGGCTGGAAATATATCGCATAAATCACTTATGATTTCGATTTTTGTTGCAGAGAGTACATAAAACAAAGTCCGCTTTGATGAAACTTTGTACTTGGACCTTGGTACTTGACACAGATTTTGTAGGTACGTAATGGTGAGTAGGCTACTTCAGTTAAGAAACTGAAAGAAAGAAGACGTACATGTAAAATAGTGCAATGATTAATACAGGGTAACGAAACTAATGGTTTGATTAAAGTAGTGTTATAATTATCTTCTTTGTTATAGTTGCTGTGCATACTTGAAAGACAGACTTATTAAAATGTTGAAGTAATATTTCTATAATAACAGGAAACACATGCCACAGTAAAGTTAATCAAGGAACGTACTTTTCGAAGTGAAAGAATGTTACCAATGTATTATCAGGTTATGAGCCCTGCGGTATTTTATGTTTCTAATATTAAAATTAGTAGAGTTTAGGGCAGTACATATTTTTTCGAAATGCTGTTAATTTAGGTGGGGTATATTTATTTTACGATGCTTCCTTAGGTATTATTGTGTGTTGTAACGTTTTCCAGCATCCATATTAATAAATATATGCAGGACTTCTTTAATTTTTAAATCTTCACGTAAGTAATAAGAGATTATCTTCTATGTATATCATGCATATTGTGTGATGGGTATAAGCAGATCATGTTTTTTGTTTCTGAAGGAAGTTAGCTGGTCATACTGTTTTCATCACTGGAGCCAGCCGAGGTATTGGGAAAGCAATTGCTTTGAAAGTTGCCAAAGATGGGGCCAATGTTGTTATCGCAG